CAAACGGCAAGATTTTATCCTCTCATTTGGCATTTTCAACCAATCACAGTTTGCCTCTGTGTAGTAAGGTGGTATCTACTGCATCGGCGAGCAAGTGGCTTGTGATACGCCACCCTCGCGTCATCAGATCTCGCTATTATCTGAATCACTGTTTCTCGCTTTCTCTTGTGAAGCAAATTTCATTGATATGTTCTAGTTATGGGTTTCCGTATTCCCTCAGTTTCTTTACTTAAACTGCAGTTCCCATCTCTTTGTTTAGTGGAGACAGGAGCTCCTATCTTAGCTGATAGCGGAAATTTGATGTGTCCCAAATAGCCAAATTGGGTCCATCAACACACTTCTTTTGGGAGGAGTGAGGTGATGCTTGCGCTATATATCAAAGGAATTAAATGTTTCGAAATTAGCGACTCTGTGTACACTAGAAAGATGAATTTAGGACCACCTTCCTGAGGTAGTCGTGAAACAATGGACTAGCTCATTGGTTGAACAGTCTACTGCAGTCTTGGGGTAAGTTGTTTCGGGATTTTGCGGGAATGTAGAAATAGGAAAAGATGTATTTTAGCTGACTGATGCACCTTGATAAAGATGCTCTACCTTGACCGTTTATAGTATCCTTAAAGGTAAGAATAACCTCCTAACCGTATGTCCATAGAAAGCCGGTTTCCACTTGTTAAGGGTATTGCCCTCTCTTTGTTGGCTACTTAATCCGCCAATGAGGTAACTGGTTCCTACCTCTTCCAGATGAAGGCATTCTGAAGATGTATCTACGCGGACGGTCCCTCAATTTCTACGCTCCAACAGACATTGCACCTGACTACGACTTTTCTGCAGTGCTACCACCACCAGAAGAACAGCTCAAGCTGGAATGGGTGTATCCTTTGACTTCTTAAGCCAGAAGACCCTCAGAGATCAGATATTATTGGATGGAACATCCCAGTTACTTTCCTTAATTTCGATTGGTTCTACTAGGTATGGCTACCGTGGAAAGGATTGTCGAAACAATGTCGTTTTTCTGCCCACAGGCGAAATAATCTACTTTGTTGCTGCTGTTGTCGTTCTTTACCACCTCGAGCAGCACAGCCAACGACATTATTTGGAGCACAATGATGATATCAAGTGGTGAGCGGTGCTGTCTGCAAGTGTTGTGTAACTGAGATATCTATAAGGGATAGAAATCCAGTAGCACTTTGGATTAGCACTTACCTTGTGCTTCAGCATCTAGATATGGATTTGTTACTCTCAGATAGAAAGCCTGGGAAATTAATATGGGTGGTGTGAGTGGATTTCTTTCTAACTAGCGAGGAGACCGACCTAAGTGGCTTGGGTATCTCCACGCAGAAGGAACTCTCAGTCCACCTGTTTCGATACCCGACTTCCGAATTGTGTTTAGTATCTTCACGACAAGATTGGTCTCCTATGAGAGTTCGTCACAGGACAAATTGCGTGTCGATCAGGTGCGCTACTCACTGAATGGCTGGTGTGAATTTTGACCCATCGCCACGGACATGGTCATTGACAAGCCTTTGACTTTCCTTGCGGGTCTCATTACCTCACTGGTCTGTGTTTGAGGTCTTCTGTGGATACTTGTATTCATGAGTATAAGACGTGTCTTTCAATGTCACGCGTTGTTTCATTCACATGAGGATACCATATCCGCATGTCATATTACTCACCAGTGCCTGGGTTGATCTAGGGTACCTTTTCTGGTCTTCGACTGTCATCGGTAGGGAAGCTGATAGCCCTTTGTAAATATTACACATCTGCACGAAGTCTCTCTCCTGAATGTCGTTCTCTGCCGTCACGACAGCTTCTTGATGAGTTGCAGTTAGCTGTGAAGTGGTCGCTGTTATTATGCGACAACTTTTGGCCGAGAGAATTTATCAGTCCTACCCTCCGTCAACAAGCTATTTTTCCATACTTCTCTTCTTAGGCCTGATTAACTTCTCGGAAAACTTGTCTGAACGCCAAGTCCAAGTTAATCCACTCACTAGATTTCGCTCAACCTTCCTTTCTTCCTCACAGTAATGATCCTCAAACTTCTTTTATATTGAGGAGGGAATGATCTATGGCGACATCGAATGTATACCAAGTTGTCTATTGTTTGACTGGTGGAATTCATTTATCCACCCATAGCCGACCAATTGAATCATGAATGGCACATTTCCTGTTGTACCCACATCTCTATTAACGACCCTTTTACATGACTCAGCAAAGTAAAAAAAGGATTGTTTCAATAGTAGGTGACCCTGTATCCCGCAGGTCCAGACGGCTCTCTCGAGTAATCGTCCATGAGTTAGAAACGAGAGGCAAACAATGCCTTTCCATCAAGACGCGAAAATGCTTGCTTCCACTTCGTCGATTTTGTCGCCGTTGTAAAGTGCACTTTGACGATCTGCTGTTACAGCGTGTTTAGAATGGGACGGTGCTCTACAGCGAGTCCATTTTTGTGCCAATCAGTATCAGTAAAAAGATTTTTTCACTCAGTACACCGATTGTTTAAAGTGGCTCTACAAAAGCTGGTAGTCTGCACTCATTTCGCAGCAGGCCATTAGTCTATCCAGGCCCCATTCAGGTGAAACAAACGTTGAGAACCCGATTGCGGGTTACCAGATCATGGGTGGTTGCCGAAAATGGACATGGCTTTGATATTCTTGCTGTGAGCTCCCACAACTTGGGTTATCCACAACAGTTGCCTTCTTCCGTGGTGTTCAGGTTTAGTCTTCAACTTTCTGCTTTTGGATTTGGTTCACTTGTCGCTGACATCAACGAGGCATTCGAGCTCTCGCTAAAGACGGTATCGGGCGGATCTTTTATTAATCCACGCAGAAAACCGTAGCTGGAGAGCCTTAATTGTTATACTCAAGCATTCTGAGTTGATGTACCGGGTTTTTTATAAAGCATTATTTCATTATTTAGCCTCGCCCTTCATCCAGATAGAATCACAATTGCTACTGGACAAACAGCTGGACATGGGAAGTGTGATGGGAAGGTGCGTCATGACTTTTTCCTTCCAGTATTTCACTATCTTTTGTTTCAAAACACTCATCAACTACTCTTTCTTTACTGTTCTTCTGTAACATTTTAATATTTTTACTTCAGAAGCTGGCTTGAGATAGTTAAGTTTTAACCGTTTTTTGATTGGTTGTCATTCTCGATTATCCTAACTTCTCGTTACCTGATTGGTTATCTCCGATTATCAGATAACTAATCACCACGGTAACCCGTGTACGTTTTTTGTGCTTTACCATTCATTTTGCAAATCTGAGCATTCAATCACTACTTTATTCGGTATTTGGTTTAAGCACTAGATTCCTTCTCTGGATGTTTTTTGTCTTCATGTATCCTAAAAATCCGATTTCTAAGGTTTGCCAAATTAGGAAGACAATTTGTGCGGACGCCGGAAACGTGACATTTTATAGCCACAAAAATCGCTTTTGGTAAAGGGTCATTGAATTTGACACAAAATGCAGACTTTCAAGAAGTGCACAACTAATTCCCATCCCCATAGGCAGCCAGTGGGATTTTTAACTACTGCAAAAGGGGAGCAGCAGCGGTGCAAACACAGCTAATCCAAGTCCCCTTTATTGTATATCCTAGCCGCACGTAAGAATTTGGAATTCGGTGAGTTTGGAGACCCTCCATGTGGTGGGATTGGGCACTTTCGAGAACTCCATTGCCTGCCTCGCCTTCTCCAAAACAGTGAGTTTACTTCCTATAGAGGCTACTTAAGCGATACATTGGCTTGTACATACGACTGCCAAGTCGCTGTGCACTGAACGAACAATGTAATACGCCACATAAATTCAGAGGCATCGGTTTCATTGTAAATGAGTAAGACTGTGGATTTCTCGCCACTTAATCGAGTCTTGTAAGCAAATCACTGATTTTCTGAGTGGCAACGGCTTTCAGTAATAACTTTTTGCATCTTCAAATTAACCATTACTTAAAAGGTGATCTTGTTACGTTGCCTTTCACCCCAGGACGGAGGAGCAACGTTGGCTGTTATTGACGAGGCCACGGATCATACCATTTCCCTGTGGGATTGGCAAAAGACGCGTCGAATCACTGAAACCAAAGTGAGTTCCCATTCTCGCCACAGGGCAATCGAAATATCAGTAAAATCTAGGTCAGATAATAAAATAAACCTCTAGCTACAAACTCGAAACATATCAGCGGTTTTTGCGTGGTGGAGATTCTGACACATAAATCGCTACTCCATTGTCCCCAGTGGTAGGCTGTAGTTTTGCATTGACACGGGGTAGTGTTTTTGAATCAGCCGAACACGCCTATGGGAGGATAAAATCTTGCCGTTTGTAGAATAGCGGAGTGACGACTGGGTGAATATGCGCTCCGCCACAGTTGAGTGACGTTGAGTGGGTGTCTCTCCTACCTCGGATGGGCAGTGTTGCATTTGGACACATTGAGCGAACCAAAAGTCATGTGTTAAATGTCATGTCACTAATCCCTCGCCCCTCAACTCACCGTACAGGTAAGGGAATGCTTAGAGAAGTGAAGGCAAGTCTGCACTTTGTCGTGACGCAAGTGGAAGGGAAAGGGGAGGGAGAGTGGGAGTGGGGTGGAGAGGGAGGCACCTGTGACTGATTGACTGACTGACTGGGAAGTGGAAACTTCTACGACAGGAGGAGGGAGGCAGGGTGAGTGTCGGTGGGAGTGGGAGAGGGCGAGATTCATGAATGCGGATCTAGGTGGACACGCACACACACGCACATACAACAGGGCTTGGAAGCGGACGTGGACACCTCTCTACCGGGGCACACAGACACGTACATGTCCACCCTTTCACAGCCATGCAAGCCAAAACGAACCAAAGCGTAGCAAAGCAAAGCAAAGTGCAACACAGCACAGCACAACGTAGTGGGGCCAAATGCCGAGTGTAGATTACCAGCTGTAGTGACTTTGAGTGTGAATCATGACGATTTGACAAGGGGAGGCAGGAGGGAAATCGTGTACGCATGCACACACATACACACACACGCATTGGAGAGTGTGGACTTGAGTATATTCCTCGTTGGGGGCCAGTGTGGGCCGCAGGTGAGAGGAGGAAAGATTTACGCGAAAAGGAAGCGGAAAGATGTAAATCAGCACATACAGACCACAGAGAGGGGAATACTTGATCTGACGTTTTAGCCTGAAAACCGAACTGAAGCACGGACGGAGTTGGCATGACAATGACAACGCGAAGGTGGTAGTGGTGTACGGTTTCTGGGGCAATGGATACATGCATCCTTGCTCTGTCAGTTCGTGCCTTTGTTTTTGCGGTGTGTGGGTCATGCACGAGAGCAGTTAAACACACACACACACACACACAGAGCGAGAGAGAGAGGGAAGGAGAGTGGGTGGGTGGGTGGATGGATGGATGATTGAATTGGTGTGTATGTGCATTAGCCATCACAAAAGCGGGTCTTGAATCGACTGATGAATTGAAAATTGGTGAATTGAAAACCGACTTGCGGAGTCGTTTCCAAACGTCTTCATGAGGTTGTGTGACAAAAGTGCCTTCCCCCTCCCCCTTCATCGACCCACTAATGGTGAAGGGTCGAGGTGATCCACATCATCTCCATTTCTACGTGTGCGAAGGCATGTAAGTGGAAGTGACAGCTTCGGCGAGAGAAGGGAACTGTCAGTGGACTGACTCCTCACCTTCCCTCAATCAACTCCATGGGCTATAACGTGATCGCTATTATCTGAATCACTGTTTCTCGCTTTCTCTTGTGAAGCAAATTTCATTGATATGTTCTAGTTATGGGTTTCCGTATTCCCTCAGTTTCTTTACTTAAACTGCAGTTCCCATCTCTTTGTTTAGTGGAGACAGGAGCTCCTATCTTAGCTGATAGCGGAAATTTGATGTGTCCCAAATAGCCAAATTGGGTCCATCAACACACTTCTTTTGGGAGGAGTGAGGTGATGCTTGCGCTATATATCAAAGGAATTAAATGTTTCGAAATTAGCGACTCTGTGTACACTAGAAAGATGAATTTAGGACCACCTTCCTGAGGTAGTCGTGAAACAATGGACTAGCTCATTGGTTGAACAGTCTACTGCAGTCTTGGGGTAAGTTGTTTCGGGATTTTGCGGGAATGTAGAAATAGGAAAAGATGTATTTTAGCTGACTGATGCACCTTGATAAAGATGCTCTACCTTGACCGTTTATAGTATCCTTAAAGGTAAGAATAACCTCCTAACCGTATGTCCATAGAAAGCCGGTTTCCACTTGTTAAGGGTATTGCCCTCTCTTTGTTGGCTACTTAATCCGCCAATGAGGTAACTGGTTCCTACCTCTTCCAGATGAAGGCATTCTGAAGATGTATCTACGCGGACGGTCCCTCAATTTCTACGCTCCAACAGACATTGCACCTGACTACGACTTTTCTGCAGTGCTACCACCACCAGAAGAACAGCTCAAGCTGGAATGGGTGTATCCTTTGACTTCTTAAGCCAGAAGACCCTCAGAGATCAGATATTATTGGATGGAACATCCCAGTTACTTTCCTTAATTTCGATTGGTTCTACTAGGTATGGCTACCGTGGAAAGGATTGTCGAAACAATGTCGTTTTTCTGCCCACAGGCGAAATAATCTACTTTGTTGCTGCTGTTGTCGTTCTTTACCACCTCGAGCAGCACAGCCAACGACATTATTTGGAGCACAATGATGATATCAAGTGGTGAGCGGTGCTGTCTGCAAGTGTTGTGTAACTGAGATATCTATAAGGGATAGAAATCCAGTAGCACTTTGGATTAGCACTTACCTTGTGCTTCAGCATCTAGATATGGATTTGTTACTCTCAGATAGAAAGCCTGGGAAATTAATATGGGTGGTGTGAGTGGATTTCTTTCTAACTAGCGAGGAGACCGACCTAAGTGGCTTGGGTATCTCCACGCAGAAGGAACTCTCAGTCCACCTGTTTCGATACCCGACTTCCGAATTGTGTTTAGTATCTTCACGACAAGATTGGTCTCCTATGAGAGTTCGTCACAGGACAAATTGCGTGTCGATCAGGTGCGCTACTCACTGAATGGCTGGTGTGAATTTTGACCCATCGCCACGGACATGGTCATTGACAAGCCTTTGACTTTCCTTGCGGGTCTCATTACCTCACTGGTCTGTGTTTGAGGTCTTCTGTGGATACTTGTATTCATGAGTATAAGACGTGTCTTTCAATGTCACGCGTTGTTTCATTCACATGAGGATACCATATCCGCATGTCATATTACTCACCAGTGCCTGGGTTGATCTAGGGTACCTTTTCTGGTCTTCGACTGTCATCGGTAGGGAAGCTGATAGCCCTTTGTAAATATTACACATCTGCACGAAGTCTCTCTCCTGAATGTCGTTCTCTGCCGTCACGACAGCTTCTTGATGAGTTGCAGTTAGCTGTGAAGTGGTCGCTGTTATTATGCGACAACTTTTGGCCGAGAGAATTTATCAGTCCTACCCTCCGTCAACAAGCTATTTTTCCATACTTCTCTTCTTAGGCCTGATTAACTTCTCGGAAAACTTGTCTGAACGCCAAGTCCAAGTTAATCCACTCACTAGATTTCGCTCAACCTTCCTTTCTTCCTCACAGTAATGATCCTCAAACTTCTTTTATATTGAGGAGGGAATGATCTATGGCGACATCGAATGTATACCAAGTTGTCTATTGTTTGACTGGTGGAATTCATTTATCCACCCATAGCCGACCAATTGAATCATGAATGGCACATTTCCTGTTGTACCCACATCTCTATTAACGACCCTTTTACATGACTCAGCAAAGTAAAAAAAGGATTGTTTCAATAGTAGGTGACCCTGTATCCCGCAGGTCCAGACGGCTCTCTCGAGTAATCGTCCATGAGTTAGAAACGAGAGGCAAACAATGCCTTTCCATCAAGACGCGAAAATGCTTGCTTCCACTTCGTCGATTTTGTCGCCGTTGTAAAGTGCACTTTGACGATCTGCTGTTACAGCGTGTTTAGAATGGGACGGTGCTCTACAGCGAGTCCATTTTTGTGCCAATCAGTATCAGTAAAAAGATTTTTTCACTCAGTACACCGATTGTTTAAAGTGGCTCTACAAAAGCTGG